TTTCTCTTTGCCCAGTTGGAAAACTTCTTATTGATAAGTTTTTAAATTTGCTAATTCTTTTTTCTACTGCCTTCAATATTTTGTTAAACCCATCAATCTTAATTTCAGATATGATTTTCAGTTCTGAATAGTTTTTTGATTCTCTTTTTATAGATGCCAGTTATCTGTTGAAAATCTTTATATTCTTATTTAATTTTGTGCATCTTTGCTTGCATTTTTAATACATTATATTTATAAAATACTTATCTTTTCATTCTAGAGGTATTTGTTTGCTTTATCTCCCCCCCATCCCTGCCTTGATTATCAGTCCCTTATTCCTGCTTCTTGATAAGTCTAGTTATTGTTTGGTTATGTGACAGACATTTTGTATGAAAGAACTAAAGTGGCCCAAAATGATATCTTCTGCTAGTGCTAGCTTTCTTTTTTCTCTACAAAAATAAAGGGTCCAGAGCTGATCACTTTAACTCCAATCAGGACTTGGACTTGAGCTTGTTTTAACCAGAGTTGCAATTTTGATGTGACTCATTTCAGCTCTGGCTAGTCACTATTTCTTTGTTGTGGCCCTCCTACGATTTTGATTGACAACCTTGCCAATCTGTGCCTGCTCAGGTGTGAATAGTTAAGCAGCCTCAAAATGTGGCAGACATCTTGGGAGTTCAGGTACCAGCTGTGGGTCTTTGATGCCTACTCTCTCTGTTGAGACTTTGACTTCTCAACACCATGAGATTGAAGAATATTTTGTTCTATCAAAAACTTCTTTTTGAGATAGAGTCTTGCTCTTGTTGTCCAGGCTGGAATACGATGGCACAATCTCGGCTCATTGCAAACCTCTGCCTCCTGGGTTTAAGCGAGATTCTCATGCCTCAGCCTCTGAGTATCTGGGACTCTAGATGCACACCACCTCATATGGCTGATTTTTGTATTTTTAGTAGAGACAGAGTTTCTCCATGTTGACCAGGCTGTTTTCAAACTCCTGACCTCAGTTGGTCTGCCCACCTTAGTCTCCCAAAGTGCTGGGATTACAGGCATGAGCCACCCTTGTCTGGACTCTATCAGTTTTCATGGTTCCAGAACTCAGTACCTGTCTGGTGGGGCTAGTTTATTTCAGCACGTTAACATCTTATGACTCCCTAAAGCACTACAAGCTTCTCTTTTCCTTCTGCATCGGAAGTTAGCAAACTATTGCCCAAGGGCCAAATCCTTTTTATACTGCCTGTGAACTCTTAAGAATGGGTTTTACATTTTTGCGTAGCTGAAAACATTTTAAAAGAGTAATATTTTATGACTTGGAAATTAAATGCAGGTCAAATTTCAGTATCCATAATGTTTTACTGGAATACAGTCGTGTTCATTTGTTTATATTAGTCTTATTTCTGTGGCTACTTTCCAGCTATAGTGCCAGAGTTGAGTAGTTGCAGTAGAGACCATATGCCTCTAAAGCCCAAAATAATTACTGTCTGGCCCTTGAGAGAAAACGTTTGCCTGTCAAACCCTGATATACAATAATGTTTTTCAAAATGTGATTTGTGGACTCTTGGTTCCTGAGAAAGACCCTTAAATGAGTTCTATAAGGTCAAAACTAAATAATAGTTACCAAAATTTTTCCTTTTCTACTTCGTTAATGTTTGAACTGCTGGTGCAAAAGCTGTAGTGAGTAAAATTGCTGGGACCTTAAGTATCAAAGCAGTGGCACTAAATGGTGCTAGCAGTCATTGTGTTTTCCATTGCCTAGTAAAAATAAATCAGTTTTTATCTAAGATGCTCTTGCCGAACCAAAGTTTATTTAATTAGGTCTCTACTCCCAAGACATGTCTTTTTAATAATCTTTGGAACAAAATAAGACCAATCTTTTCCATGTTCAGTTGACTCTTGAACAACATGAGTTTGAATTGTGCCAGTTCACTTCTTCATGGATTTAAAAAATACAGTTAGCCTTCTGTATCCATGAGTTCTGCGTCAGCAACCAAATTCAGATTGAAATTACAGTGTTTGGGCCTGGCGAGGTGGCTCATACCTGTAATCCCAGCATTTGAGAGGCCAAGGTGGGTGGATCACCTGAGGTCAGGAGTTCAAGACCAGCCTGGCCAACATGGTGAAACCCCATCTTTACTAAAAAAAAAAAAAAAAAAAAAAAAAAGAAATCAGCCAAGTGTGGTGGTGGTATGAGCTTGTAATCCCAGCTATTGGAGGCTGAGGCGGGAATCACTGGAACCCACAAGGCAGAGGTTGCAGTGAGCTGAGACTGTGCCACTGCACTCCAACCTGGGCGACAGGGAGACTCTGTGTCAAAAACAAACAGCAACAACAAAAAACAGCATTTGCAGGATGTGAAACTTTGAGCATATGGAGGGCCAAATTTTTATATCCATGGGGCAGAATGTAAGACTTCAGTATGTGTAGATTTTTTAGTATCCATGAACAGTCCTGGAACCAATCTCCTGCATATACCAAAGGCTGACCATATTTCATCTCAGATAACATACCACAGATGGAGTATAGGTACAGACAGAGTCAGTAATCCAGCTGTCTTTTGATAAGCCTTTTATTAAAGTCACCTGTAACAAAAGTACAGTAACGCTACACTTCTCATTGATTTTCTTGTTTTGGAAAATAAGGACTTTTAAAATCAAAATTGTTTATATTAATATGTAATGAGTTAATTGGCAAATATTTAAAATGTTTCTATTTTAAGAACATATTTTAAAATTATCAATAAATATAATCCACATAAACAAAAGTGCTTTGTGGTCCCTCAGCAGTATTTAAGAGTATAAAATGATTCTAAATTCAAAATCCACTAATCTGGGAGTTGATTTCTCCTCACAGATCAGAGGATAAATTAGGTTTTGGATATAGTTTTGGCTTTTTGTTATTTTCAATTCAACATGTTATTTTTAGGACCATCCCAAGTGTTTATTGGTTGATGATCATTTTGGTTATTCTGTATAAGATCCATGTTCTTACAGTTGCCCACCCCAATGGTTATAAGACCTCCATCCAGTCGCGTACATGTCACTTCTTTCTCTTAGGTGGTTGTGCTTTTAGACTATGCTTCATATGAATCCTTTTAAAGTCAAGTTAGAATCAGCTGTGGATTCATTTATTTTCACTATTTTTCTGTTATTTTGTTTTGCTTTCCACATTATGTCAACACACAAGTGATAACGCTGCTCTCACTAGAATTGATATTATTTAGTTTAAAATTGTTAAACGGTATTTCTCTGAGCTTTTCTTCCAGTGTATTTTTGGATGGATTTTTAATTATGGTCAAAGTAGGTAGACAGTGATAGCTATGGACTGCAGTAGCCACAATCTTAAACCATAAAACAACTTTCATGTATTGCCACGTGCCCCTTGAGAGGTGTATGCCCCCAGGAATATCACTGAAGTTCGATAGAAATTACTAATTTGAGTTTTTATGAGAATTCCACATTGACAGTTTCCAGACATATATCCCATTTCTACACATTTCAACACTTAGTGATATAGGACTGGGAAAATATGCAAAGAATAACTTGGAAAGGTCTGAGAAGTAAAAGAGCTTTAAAAGTAACATCATTATATAAGAATGGTTAAGTGTTAATTGAATTAATTGTGGTTTCAAGTAGGAAAGTGTCCAGGGAAAATGAAACCACATTCATAGACTTTATTTTTTTTTTTTACATTAATTGACTATTTTTGAGATAAAGTCTCACTCTGTCAACCAGGCTGTAGTGCAGTTAGTGGCATGATCTCAGCTCACTGCAACCTCTGCCTCCCAGGTTCAAGCAATTCTCCTGCCTCAGCCTCCTGAGCATCTAGGACTACAGGTCCATGCCACTGCCCCCAGCTAATTTTTGTATTTTTAGTAGACGTGGGGTTTCTCCATGTTGGCCAGGCTGGTTTCAAACTCCTGACCTCAAGTGATCCACCTGCCTTGGACTCCCAAAGTGCTTAGATTACAGGCATGAGCCACTGCACCCAGCCTGTAGACTTTATTTTGAAGTGTATTGTTCAGCTTAATGACAACTTACTCCTCTGTGGTTGTTGAGTCTTCACAATTTTCAATTGTTGGAGTAATGGAATTAAGTCTTAAAAGTAGAGACACTGTGATAGCCATCATCTGTGCAGGAAATGAAAGAAGATGCAAGGGTTTATAATTGTTTGTGTTTTGTTTTTATTTTTACAGAATATTCTTTCCATTCTCTTTTTTGTTAGATACATTGTTGTGTCTTTTTTATTTCCTTGCCCTTTCACTGTTAATTGCATTCTGTTCATTCTGGTGCAGATATTTGGAGGTGTATAACATTTCCTTTGAAGTCTGGGCATCATTGTTTAACAGATTTTTATTATTGTAGAAAGCCTTTGCTTCACTAAATTTCTTCACTGTATTTCTTTAAAACAGTAATGTTAAAGCTATCAATTCATACTGGTCTTATGGATATTTTTTTTTGTTTTTGTTATACAACCAGTCAACTTTTCAATTAAGAAGACAGAAATGAGGCCGGGCGCGGTGGCTCAAGCCTATAATCCCAGCACTTTGGGAGGCCGAGGCGGGTGGATCACGAGGTCAAGAGATCGAGACCATCCTGGTCAACATGGTGAAACCCCGTCTCTACTAAAAATACAAAAAATTAGCTGGGCATGGTGGCGCGTGCCTGTAATCCCAGGTACTCGGGAGGCTGAGGCAGGAGAATTGCCTGAACCCAGGAGGCGGAGGTTGCGGTGAGCCGAGATCGCGCCATTGCACTCCAGCCTGGGTAACAAGAGCGAAACTCCGTCTCAAAAAAAAAAAAAGAAGACAGAAATGTATAACTGTGTGAGCATGTTAAGGCAGAGTAGATCCAACTAATTTAATTCTTCCTTCACTATATCAGCAGTGTGCCTTGGCCCTGGTATAGATCTAGTCTTTCATTAGGATCCAAAGAAGATAATCTATCGGTTACATTTTGGGTCACACCTTACGCCTAGTAGTAATTTTCTTAAATATTTAAAAATGATAATTATTTGTTTCTCTGAAGGTTCTAAGGCCCAGCAGCTACTGCAAGGATTACAAGCCAGTGATGAAAGTCAGCAGCTTCAGGCGGTTATTGAGATGTGTCAGTTACTGGTCATGGGAAATGAGGAGACACTGGGAGGGTTTCCTGTCAAGAGTGTTGTTCCAGCTTTGGTAAGCATAGTGTTTTTCCCTCGTTTTACCTCATTTGTCCTCTGAAATCTGCTGGTTTTTTATTGACTGTATGATTATTTTTCATTATTAATTTTAAAACATGGTAGAATTAAACGAGGAGTATATGACTTGGTGCTTTTATTTCATACTTAGAGATGTCAGCAGTTGCTAATGAGTTGGCAAATTTTCTAAACCATTTTTTGATGGATGGTCACCTGATTTTTGATACTTAAATGACTGGTTTTAAGTTGTTCACCTCACTTGTAATACTTTGACTCTCACCATGTAGAATGTACATGCTAGCCTGGTGATCCATGGAGCAATAGTCAGGGGAAGCTCTCTCTGAGTTGTATTTGGGGGACCAGAAAGGCATCATGTTTAGTAAATGTGTACATGGGCATACTGCTCAAGCCATATGATATGTGTATGGATCCTTTCAGTTTAAAAGGTTTTATGTGTGCGTGATGGCTCACCCCAAGGCGGGTAGATCACCTGAGGTAAGGCATTCCAGACCAGTCTGGCCAACATGGTGAAACCCTGCCTCTACCAAAATTTAAAAAATTAGCCAGGCGTGGTGGTGTGCACCTGTAATCCCAGCTGCCCTGGAGGCTGAGGCAGGAGAATTGCTTGAATGTGGGAGGCTGTGGTTGCAGCGAGCCTGCACTCCAGCCTGGGCATCAGGAGCAAAAACTCTGTCTCAGAAAAAGAAGTAAGAGACTTTAAAACATCTTTTTAATGCCTTTTCAACATATCTGTGAGTTGATATTTTCATATGAGATATTTATTAACAGCTTGATTCCTTAAACTTTTAAATGAGAAAACAATAGGAAGAAAAATTGCCATTACCAAATGTAGGCACCTTAGCACAATACAGCTTTTAAATAGTGGCTTGACAATTTTCTTTGTTCAAAATTAAAGAAATTGGCTATAATTTAAGATTAAAATTTGAGTCTAAATCAAATACTACCAAAAGACAAACAAACATGATGAGTACATTTGTAGCATGTTTGTTTTGGAAATTATATCTAAATACCATCTAACTCTTTTTGTATATCCAGTAAAGCTGGCAAAAAAATATGATTACATTTGTATCATGTTTTATTTTGGAAATTATAGTTAAATACTATGTCTTTTTGTATATCCAGTAAAGCTGGCAAAAAATGCAGTTATGATTGGTACATCGTATTGTCCCGTTTGATCAGATTATCAAGTTATGGAGATAACTTGAGTTTTAGGGAGAGAGCTGAGTAAAGAAAGGCCTGTGAAATACACGGCGACCGTCCTTATTCCGCTTGTTCTTACTTGGATGGCTCAGCTCTCCAGTTTGATAAAGGATATTATAGTTTCTTCACCTGCCACCTGTATGCAGAGAATAAAAGCCAGTTTCCAAATCTTATCATTTCCATTCTACTAAAAGTTGTACTTGTTGCTTTCTGAGTGTTTCATAATAGCAATGTTACTAACCTTTCAACTTTCAGATTTTGCCTATGTTAATATCCATTCTTAGATTGCTGATTTGTTCAATAGCTGACTTCTGTGACCTGAATCAAACTTTCATTTGTTTTATTGTTGTTGTTGTTCACTAAGAAGTAGCAACAAATAACTAGGCTTACCTTATACTATCTGTAGTTAAAATTTAGCTTTTATTAGTTAAAGAAGCCATTAAGTCTAGGCAGAAATGTTGATACATAATTCAGTTTACTTAGTGTGCTGATTGTTAATTAGATTTAAGTACCTAATTGACTTGCACAAGTGTGCTGGTGCTATTAATAATGACTGTTATTATGAGTTATCTAGATTTATCACAACTGAATATTATTTGTATCTGTTCATCACAATACAGTAATGTGACATAAATAGTCGTTGTTGGTGAAAGGGGACCTGTTTTTACCAGTCCTTCCCAAACACGGTCTAATAAGGTGATTTAATAATTGGGGAACGTACTACTTTTAACATGACAAGTCCTTTCAAATTAGACTAAGTGTTTTAAGTGACTGATATTAAGTGATTTGATAAATTGTTTTGTTTTTGGATCCTTAATGGGGTGTGTGTATATGTTACGGTGTTTGTATGTGACTTTAAACAAAAATAGTTCTTAGGACTTCTGGTATGTAGGTATACTTTACCCAGCACAATTCAGAGCTGAGAAGACATTCATATTGAATGATTATTATGTTAGAATATCTGATGTTCGTTGTTGTTATAAATTTAATTGAAATGTACTTATAAGCTTAAATTCAGTGCAATAGAAAATTTCCATTGAACCAGAAGATAGTGAATGGCTGTCTTACCCCCAGGGAGGAAATTTCTTTGGTGACTCAGCTGCTTCGAGAGGATAGAGTGTGTATCCCCAGCAGTTTTGCATTCCTTCATTAGAAAAAACATAGCTGAAATCTGCTTAAGATCTTTTCACAAGACGAACTAAAACCAGATATTTAAACTTATGCATATATCGAGTAATTATATTAATTTGGCTCTAATTAGTGCACAGTTTCTGATGTGATCTATCTTGTGTTTAAATCCTATATTAACTGTGTATTTTGCAGGTGAGTTAAATGATGCTTACTGTTTTAGAGAAGCTTGTTCACAAGAGTTTAAGTTACAGTCCTGAATCTGTGCTGACAGTTGGTAATTCAGCAAATGTCAGTGCATTGCTGATCCTGTTTGTTTATGTATCTGGTATTTATTAACACTGGTAAGTCCTCATGGATATATTAATAGGCTATTGAAAGGGGTTAGAGCTACCAAAAGGATAGGTTGTAAGTAACAAGAAGGCTTTGTTTGTGACCTGTATCATGAGGTGATGGTTATCTAGCAGCACACTCAAGTCAGAGTCACCGTATGTGATGAACCATCCTGAGTGTAATCATTTCTGTGTATGTCTACTAGGTTTTATCTTGAAGTTATTTTTGTGTGGTAAAAGTTACGATTCATACCTTCCATTTCAGTTGAAGAGGAAGAAATACGTCTAGGATTTTCCCTACGAATATAGCTTCTAATACTTTGTTGTTTTTTTTTTTTTTGACAGATAACGTTACTTCAGATGGAGCATAATTTTGATATTGTAAGTATATACTATATTGTTTTTAATGGTGTGTATTTAAGTTTTGAGTTTTTATTCAGTAAAATCTCTTCTTTTCTAGATGAACCATGCTTGTCGAGCCTTAACATACATGATGGAAGCACTTCCTCGATCATCTGCTGTTGTAGTAGACGCTATTCCTGTCTTTTTAGAAAAGGTGATCCTACTTTCACCCCACTTGTTCAAAAGCAGGCATAGGGAATCAAGTTTCAAACTCTTGAATTTTAGCTTCCGTTATCTAAAGTATATTTTTTAGCCAAGATTCCTGAAGAATGTTTCATGTCCAGCAGATCAGTAGTTTGAAGTTGGAAGATAAATCATTTATAGAATCAGCCTAGTTTGTAATTTTTAATAATAGCACATTAATATAAGAACTTTAAGAGAAGAACTTCAAAGCACTTGATTAAAAATAATTTCTAGAAAACATCCCATTGAGGTTGATAGCTATTTATACCCTCATTATGTAGCTGAGAAAGATGATTCAGTGGTGAATAGAAATTTCTCATATAGTTTGTAGTAAATTGTGTTTTTGGTCTGTGTTACGGACCTTTTTGTTTGTTTAATGCACAACAAAATTTGCTTTATCTGATGAAACTTGCAATATGGTGTAAAGTTTAAAATCTGTTTTTAAATTTTTGTTAGGTAAAACAACTCATCTATTTTAAATCTGAAGATTTAAAAGTTATGTAATTGGGTTTGGTTTATTATGTAAAACATCTTTCAGTATCTTAAAACTGGTTAGAAGGAAACTTTTGGCTATACTTACATCCTATGGTGGGTTACATGTTAGAGATAATATACATTGATGTAAATTAGAGAAAAATACTGTTTTTATGTATGCAAAACATATGTTATTGGAAAGGAACTTAAATGATAACCTTATGGTAACTGTTTATATGTTCCCAGCTGCAAGTTATTCAGTGTATTGATGTGGCAGAGCAGGCCTTGACTGCCTTGGAGATGTTGTCACGGAGACACAGTAAAGCCATTCTACAGGCGGTAAGTGTTGTTACTTAGGACTGCATTTCACTTTATGTAGAAGTTTTTAAATCCACATTTGTACTAGCTCCTTGATTGCAGTTTTGTAAGATATACGTCATTTCCAAAGTAATGTGCTAGACTTTTTACTAAATTATTTTTTATTGCTGATAAAGGATTTTTCTTTACCTTAACAGTTTTCTATATTTTAGGGTGGTTTGGCAGACTGCTTGCTGTACCTAGAATTCTTCAGCATAAATGCCCAAAGAAATGCATTAGCAATTGCAGCCAATTGCTGCCAGAGTATCACGCCAGATGAATTTCATTTTGTGGCAGATTCCCTCCCACTGCTAACCCAAAGGCTAACACATCAGGTAAAATATGAATCTATTTTATGTGCCATAAAGTGTTTTTTTACTTTTTAAAAATATTTTATTTATTTATTTTTTTGAGATGGAGTCTCACTGTTAGGCTAGCGTGCAGTGGCACGATCTCAGCTCACTGCAACCTCCACCTCCCAGGTTCAAGCGATTCTCTTGTCTTAGCTTCTCAAGTAGTTGCAGTTACAGGTGCGCACCACCGTGTCTGGCTAATTTTTGTATTTTTAGTAGAGATGGGGTTTTGCTATGTTGGCCAGGCTGGTCTCAAACTCCTGACCTCAGGTGATTCACCTGCCTTGGCCTCCCAAAGTGCTGGGATTACAGGTGTGAGCCACCTTGCCTGGCCACTTTTTTTAAATGACAATTTCAATTAGTGTTTTAAATCTGTCAGCTTCTTATATAATCAAAAAAGTTCTGATTCGCATTTTTTATTAATATCCAGTTATGTGCCATATTAGGTTATTTGATAAAATTTTGGTAGATTGATTCAAATGAACAGTAATTCAGATGTTTGATGATTTTAACTATTTTGACTTTAAGGGATGGATTTACTATTTCAGCAAACATTGAGTGTCTATTATGTGGTATGATCAGAATTTCCTTTTGGAAAGATCACCCTTTCTTGAAAGACATTGGAGGAGGCAGATGGGAAGAGGAAGATATAGATTAAGACCAGAAGAGAGACTAGACTGTGTCCCAAACAGAAATGAAAAATGTAGATTGTGACTGTCTGGTGTTGGAGAAGAGCAAAAGTGATTATTCTGGTGGCAGAATCAATGGACCTGATGATACAGTGTGAAAAGCAGGGTTTATGGGCCAGGGATAGTAAGGACAAATCATGAGTTCAGCTTCAAGGGTATGGAGAAATTGAGGGTTTTTTTTTTTTTTTTTTTTTTAAACTATAGAGAGGGATTTTAAAGCATTGTTTGTTGTTGCTAAAGATATTTCTAGAAACCCGGTTTTATAATTGCCTTTACAAAGAATGCTTAAGACCCCAGAGAAATTAGGTTTATAAAAATATTTTTAAATAAATTAGGAAATTTTTTTTTGTTCTGTTTTTTTTTGTGTTTGTTTTTGAGACTGAGTGTTACTCCTTTGCCCAGGCTGCAGTGCAGTGGCATGATCTCACTGCAGCCTCCGCCTCCTGGGTTCAAGTGAGTCTCCTGCCTCAGCCACCTGAATAAGTTGGATTACAGGTGTGTCCTATTAACGCCTAGCTAATTTTTGTGTTTTTAGTAGAGACAGGGTTTCACTATGTTGGCTGGGCTGGTCTCGAACTCCTGGGCTTAAGCAGTCCACTTGTCTCAGCCTCCCAAAGTGTTGGGATTACAGGTGCGAGCCACCATACCCAACCAAACAAGGGACTTATGTAAGATAAAACAGTAATGAGAATTGAATCACCCTAGAGCCTTTTGCTTCTCAAATGATCAAAACAAAGTAGTGATATTCATTTTTTTTTAATGTGTTTATATATTTATTTTTAAAAACATAGTTGGCTGGGATCACAGTGGCTCTCACCTGTAATCCCAGCACTTTGAGAAGTGAAGGCAGGTAGATCACCCAAGGTCCAGAGTTTGAGACCAGCCTGACCAACTAGTGAAACCCTGTGTTTACTAAAAATACAAAAATTAGCTGGTCATAGTGGCATACACCTGTAATCCCAGCTACTCGGGAAGCTGAGGCAGGAGAATCCCTTGCACCGCAGAGGCGGAGGTTGCAGTGAACTGAGATCGCACCAATGCACTCCAGCCTGGAGACCGAGCAAGACTCCATCTCAAAATAATAATAATAAAAAAAATAAATACAAATATAGTTGACTGAGATAATCTTTTCTGTAGTCTAAAACTATATTCTCTATGTTATGTGATAATCAGTTCCATATGATATTCTTTAGAAATAAGACAGAATCAGAGAAGTTAAGTAGTCACTATTTTGTAACACTCTTTCTAGATTTAGTGAAGATTTAGGCTATAGGCTTTTATAATACCTGAATTCTCATGTTTGTAAAGGCAAGCCTAATTTTTACATATGAAGTCCACTTACAAATTAGGAAAAATCAATGTCTATCAAAACATTAGTGTAGCCAGTAAAATGTTCTTTCCCTTCTTTTTATGACAGTTATTTCAAAAGTTTTGTCAGTGATGTCACTGTTTTTATGGCAAATATGGCAAATTGTTTTTATAGTGAAACTTTTTCATATGAATTCTATTTTTTGTTTTTATAGTGAATATTACAAGTCTATTCCCTATTTTTAACATTCTTAATAAACCTCTGGTTCTTGCACCTTTTCTTTTTCTAATTTTTTAGTTTGTACCTACTTAAACATTTCTACTTGTAATGCTTTTAAAGGAAAGTAGGCCATTTATATATTTCTTTAGTATACTATTTGTTTAGATATTGAGATTGTATAAGCACAATAGTTCTTCCTTTTCTGTATATTTGCATTTATCTAGTAGGGGCCTTTATACAGGACAGAGGTTGGTTTGATTCCTCTTTGTTTCCAAATTGTAATATTATGACTGTACCTTGCTTAGGCCTCTTTGCATTTTCAAAGCTGACATTTACTAATTGAGCTTGCCTTAAAGAATCTGGGATTAGGAAGAAGATAAAATAGTGGTGTATGACAGTGAAAATGCTTTATACTAACAAGTTTTATTTTCCTTTATTTAAAAAAATAGGATAAAAAGTCAGTAGAAAGCACTTGCCTTTGTTTTGCACGTCTAGTGGACAACTTCCAGCATGAGGAGGTAAGTGTTTTAGTCTTTGGTAGTATTTTTATGAGGTTGTTGAATTGCTGAATCTTGATGTAATGATTCCTTTGTTCTTGTGTTTTTGAAGAATTTACTCCAGCAGGTTGCTTCCAAAGATCTGCTTACAAATGTTCAACAGCTGTTGGTAGTGACTCCACCAATTTTAAGTTCTGGGATGTTTATAATGGTGGTTCGCATGTTTTCGCTGATGTGTTCCAACTGTCCGACTTTAGCTGTTCAACTTATGAAACAAAGTAAGTGCAATTTTACAGTTCTACTTTAAGCAGGAAAAGTGGCTTGTTAATTCTTCATTAATAAGTAAAGTCAACATAAGCTGAGCAGGTGGAAGAGATTGACTAGTATCATAGGCACTGGAGAGTAAAGTGTTAATATGTGGTAAATTTTTGTTGTAACAATATGGTAATCTTTCTAACATACTCCTTTTAAAGTATAGATTAAATATTTCCCCTTGGTGTTTCTAGGGCTAACAATACAAAGTCATTAATTTCTGTACAATGTTAGTCACATAACCATCCTTGATTAGGAGAAATCTGAGTTTTATGTTTCAATAACCAGCTGTCTTCAGCTTATATAGGTTGCTTTTTCTGCACGTACTAGATTTTCTAGCAGTTTTTCTGATTCCAGAATGCTTTCTTCCCTCAAAAAGTTGGAATGTTTTTGTACTGATGAATGTCTCTGATGTTTGCTGATTTGGTGTTTCTAAACCTTTTCCAATCTTACCCAGTGTGTGGGGAGATAAAATGTTACTGCACTGCTCTCGTGGTTGACCATTTCTTTCTTAATCCTTAGACTTAACAAGTTAATGTCAGAGAATTGTGGAGCTTTAGACAACATCTGTACGTTATAATTTTCTTTTTCTTTACACTTTTTGTAGAGACAAGGTCTCATTGTATTGCCTAAACTGTTCTTGAAGTTCTGGACTCATGCCATCCTGCTGCCTTGGCCTCCCAGAATACTAGGATTATAGGCACGAACCATCACACTTGGCTGTTACGGTTATTTCTAATAGAGTACTGATCACTTTTGTATAGAATACCTTTAATTACGGGGAATTTCATATCCATAATTCTAATCTCTATGGATATTACCTTTGGAGTCAGTGATATTAACTGATAAAATCATCTTTGGTCCCATTCTGTCTGAGTGGTCACACACTGCCTGAGACAGTATATTGAAATGGAAATATTATACTTTTCCAAAAAGTTTTCCAAACTTGGTTTCCAGACAACCCTATTTTGAGCCCCTAGGAGTTCTTTGAACCTTGCTTATCCCAAAATTTCCGGAATCATTAAGAGATTATTTCTTGTTAATGTACATTTTGTTACAGCTCATCCCTAAATATTAATTTGTAAAATTGCTGCCTGCCTTCCTTTTTTTTTTTTTTTTAAACATTTTTTTCTTTTTAGTGTATTTTCACCTCTTTTGCATGCTCCAGGAAGCTTACCACGTTTGTCATATGGAGGTCACCATAGTTTCTTTCTATAACAACCCTGTAAAAGGAAATGTGAACCTCTTCTGTTTGTCTCTATTTTGTTGTCATCCCTTGACTTCTAAAAAAAAAAAAAAAAAAAAAAAAAACTTTTTCTATAAAGTTGGCAAAACTGTAATTAAAAAAAAAAAAAAATCTTGGCCTTCAGTCCTGGAGAGCTGCAAGCTCTTGGGCTGTTGGTCTTAAAAAAAAAAAAAATCTTAATCGCTAATTTTGAATTTCTATGTGGCAGGCAATTCACTATCCACGTCTCTCTGCCTAAATCAATGAATATTTTGATAACAGAACTTACTGATTATTGATAAAGCATTCTAATGAAATGTTTTGTAATTTTGCATATGTATAATTTTTACAGGAGCACACACATCCACACTCAAAATCAGCAAAGACCCAGCTGTGTCTTTAGGTTTCAGCTTCCTTAGGTTTAGACTGACTAAAACTGTAGGGACTGAGAGTTCCCTCCACTCACAGTGTCAGCACATCTGAGTGGCTATCATGCAGAGTGCCCCCAAAACTGATGTCTTCTGTGAATGGAAACTTACAGTAGAGAATGCTTACCTGATCCTTGCATCAGGTTTGCATGTAATCAGTGTCACTTAGGTAATGGTTTTCCTGATCACAATACAATAAGATTCACATACTTTTGTTACATTTTATACTATGGGCCACACATTTTCAGTATATTTGAATTGAAGACAAATACATGAATATATTTGATTTGTGATATGTTGAATGCACTTTTGTCCAAAGTACTGTGCTTCTCCAAGAAAGTAATAAAGGGTTCCTAAAGTCTCACAGGTGAGAAGGAATTGTGATTAGGCACCTAGCTAGGTTTGGACTAAAGAATAAAGTCTTCAGAAAGAGATTGTTAAAATCTACGCAAATTTCTTTTCAAGTTTTTATTACAACACTTTTGGATTTTTTACATTAATTTCTGCTTTATGTTGCTTTACAAGAAAATTATTCTGATTATTTTCCTCCCTTGGGCAATGTTTGCCCTTGAATGAGGTACTGTAACTAGTTTAATAGGCTTTTGTTTTTTGTTGTTGGTTTTTACAGACATTGCAGAAACGCTTCACTTTCTCCTATGTGGTGCCTCCAATGGAAGTTGTCAGGAACAGATTGACCTTGTTCCACGAAGTCCTCAAGAACTATATGAACTCACATCTCTGATTTGGTAAAGATTGGGCTAAATATTACTTTGGGAGGCTGAGGTGGGCAAATCATGAGGTCAGGAGTTTGAGACCAGCCTGGCCAACATGGTGAAACCCCATCTCTACTAAAAATACAAAAAATTAGCCAGATGTGGTGGCGGGTGCCTGTAATCCCAGCTACTCTGGAGGCTGAGGCGGGAGAATTGCTTGAACCCGGGAGGCAGAGGTTGCACCACTGCACTCCAGCCAGGTGACAGAGTGAAGACTCTGTCTCAAAAACAAAAACAAAACAAAACGAAAATTGGGTTAACTATAACTTGTAATTTGTGTGAGATTACTTTTCTTCAGGGACCTAATGCTTACTAATATTTTTAAAAGTTATTAAAATTATTGTACTTTTTGTTTTCAGTGAACTTATGCCATGTTTACCAAAAGAAGGCATTTTTGCAGTTGATACCATGTTGAAGAAGGGAAATGCACAGAACACAGATGGTGCGATATGGCAGTGGCGTGATGATCGGGGCCTCTGGCATCCATATAACAGGATTGACAGCCGGATCATTGAGGTAGTAGTTTCATCGTACCGTTTAAATATGTCTATTTTGTTGGAGAGTGGGTGTAGGGATGGAATGGGGAGGTGGATATGTGTACTTGAATGTGCTTTATTTTGAATTAACTCAAGATTCTCTCATTTTGTCTCCTGAGAACAAGGTCCTCATTTCTGTTCAGGTCAGAAAACATGATGTTCTAGTCCTGCTTCTGCTGCTAACTACCTGATTGACTTGGAGCAAGTAATTTCAGTTTGTTGTTCCATAGTTTCCTCATTTCTGAAAGGAAACATTGGAGGACTTAGGCTATAGATTTCTAAACCTTTCTGTCTTCTATCCGAAAGCAATGTCCCATGAGCAAAGATGTACATACAAATAGTTTCCTCTCAATATTTTTTAAGAGCAAACACATGGAAACAAATGAAATAGCTAGTTCTGGGAGAATTAGTGAATTGTGATACATACATAGGCCTGTATGTTATCCAGATATTATTGGGACACATTTTAATGATATAAAATCAAATGTGAATGAAAAACACAATATACAAGATTTTGTGAATCTTTTTGGAATTCAGCAAAATAAGTTGAAAATATGAATAATACAAAGGGGAGGAATATACCAAAATGTTGACAGTGATTTTTCTGTGACAGTTCATGATTTTTATTTTTACTTCCTTACTTACATATTGTTTGCACTGAAATATTTTTAAAACTAAATTAGCATAATGTTTGCTCTAGATTAGTAGGTGTTGGTCACTGCTATTTCTACCATGCATAATATACTATGTTCAGTACACTTGTAAGAATTTATGTATTTTCTAATTTCAACCTTTGATGTTTGAATTCTTTTTAGAACATCACTTGTTTTGAATAGACATTCTTTTTTAAAGATGTCTTCTACTAGTTCGTTTCTAAAAAAATGAATTTTAGAAAAAAATTTTAAACTAGTGACTTACATCATAAAATTGGGTTTTAAGAATAAAATCCAGTTTCAGAGTCAGCTTTTATGAGAAAATTGACTTTGACTGGTCTTTTGTGCAGTATTATATATAAGCAGTATATAAGCAGGCCGATCCTGCTAATAGCGGTCCTGGTCTCTAACTCGTAAGTCGTCGTCTTTTTAGCATTTTCCTGGTCATTGCACCTTTACCATTAGCTTACTCTCTCTCTCATATGCTGAGAGTCATGTCTTCCATTTAGCCTAGGAGTTCCATAGATTGTATTCTGTAATGAGAATTTTTTTTCTGTAGTCTGTTTAAAATCAAGCAAACTGTGCTAATCAAACTGTCTCAATTTAAATATGTTGTGTATACCACATGCAGCCCTAGGGATGAATCCATTTCAGTTGTGTCGCTTTCAGTCTTAAAGTTATCTTTGTTTAATGAAGACAGTTTCATAGGATCATTTTGTCTAAGGGAGGATTTTGGTAGGTCGCTAAGAATTCATCATGTAAATAATGTTTTTAATCTAAGAATACTAAGATTTATGGATAACTTACTTTTTATAAGCAGTGTCTTAAAAGCATTCTTAATACAAATGGTGTCTTCTTTGTGTCAGTGATGCTACGTAGGTGGATCTTTCATCAAGATTTTACCTGCATTTATGTCTAAGGGTCCCTGATAATGCCTGAGGCATATAATCTATGTCTAGTTTAAAGCGATTTGTTGAATGAATGAGTTTTGTCATGTCTACACTATTGAATTTTCCACCTTCTGTTAACTTCACCAGCAATAAATATGTAAGATAATATATTTGGAGGGTCCCCACTGTGTCTTAAGGTAATAAATTTCTCCATGTTTATATTCAAAGTTTCTCTCTCTTTGCTCTCAGGCAGCCCATCAGGTCGGTGAGGATGAGATAAGCTTGTCCACTCTGGGACGAGTTTATACTATTGATTTTAATTCTATGCAGCAAATCAATGAGGACACGGGAACAGCACGTGCCATTCAGAGAAAACCTAACCCCTTAGCCAATACTAACACTAGTAAGTACATCGTGAGTTAAAATAGCGCTATATTATTGTGTAGTATTTTCTGTTTGCATAATAAATAATAATTGCTTCAGTATCTTTTTAAACTTAATTACATAACAGTAATTTGGTTTTTGGATTTATTTATTTAAATCATATGCCTTTAATGGATGAGTGAGCCAGTATTAACTGGTGTCTTTTCTGCAATTTGTCTACTTACCTGTTGTCCTGAGATTCCAGTTAGAATTTGCTCATAGAGATTTTTATCTTACCCTGTTATTACACCTTTAGATCCATTCACTACTTCTTTCAAACCTTGTATTTTATACCTTCCTGCCAAAATTATCTGAACTAATTAAGGGCAGATGATTATGATTAAAAAAAATAATAATAAAACCAACACCAGGTTTCTGACATTTACCTGTCCCCTCAGGGATTTAGTTCATTGCTTTTGCAGCCCTAGTTTGGAGCAATGTTTTTTTGCAAAGGGCCAGATAGTAAATATTTTAAATGTTGTAGGTTATCTAATATATACGCATTACCACTGCCATTGTAGCCCTCAATTAGCCGTATACAATATGTAAACAAATGTTGTACATGGTTGCATTCTAATAAAATTTTATTTACAAAAATGGGCTGTGGGCTGGATTCAGCTTACAAGACCGTACATTGCCAACCCCTCTCGTTTATCAGCTATCTTTTCCCTACACTTTATGTCACTAAGCAAAGGTGCAGAATTATCTTCTTTAGCCAATTTACATAGCTTTTAGTGAAATACTGTGCATTTCTGGAACTCTGTTGTCTTACCACTGATTTTGTTGGTTAATATTGGATTTCCCTGTGTTTCATTGAATATATATCAGTAAAATAAAGAGGTACAGTGCAGTGATGAATTGTTACTTTCAGCTGGCCCACATAGGTTACTGGTTCTTTAGACAGCTGAATTTTGTCTGTCTTAATGTTGCCTTTACCATCTTTGTAAATCCTAGTTGATCATATAAGTTCATTTAATGAAAAACTATAATGAAAAAGTTTTTCATAGCATTTCAAGGATTACATTGGCTTGAATGTTTTCTATTGCTTATTGTGTTTCTGAAGTCTGTCACTTCAGGATTGCATGATTTTTTTTTTTTTTTTTTTTTTTATGTAATAGGTGGATATTCAGAGTCAAAGAAGGATGATGCTCGAGCACAGCTTATGAAAGAGGATCCGGAACTGGCTAAGTCTTTTATTAAGACGTTATTTGGTGTTCTTTATGAAGTGTATAGTTCCTCAGCAGGACCTGCGGTCAGACATAAGTGCCTTAGAGCAATTCTTAGGATAATTTATTTTGCGGATGCCGAACTTCTGAAGGATGTTCTGAAAAATCATGCTGTTTCAAGGTGTGTTAATGGAAATAGTAGAAACATTTTACAAATTCAAATCTCTGCAAGTAATTTCAGAAATCTCTAAAGTAATGGAAAAAATATGCACAAAAGTTGGGAGTATCTTGAGCTCTTCTTGTCTATATTTACATACAACTTTTATAAATATAAAAGTTGAGTGTTTAAGAAAAATTTTTGTGTTAATAGAGTGGTTTCACAATGAAAATACTTTGCTCTCAATTTAAACTAGTATGGCCAAAAACAATCATCAAATTCAGGCAGAGTTTTATATACCAATGCTTTCTTTTTTAGTCACATTGCTTCCATGCTATCAAGCCAAGACCTGAAGATAGTAGTTGGAGCACTTCAGATGGCAGAAATCTTAATGCAGAAGTTACCTGATATTTTTAGTGTTTACTTCAGAAGAGAAGGTAATGTCATATACATTAATGATCAGTCAGTCTAGATAGTACTTCAATAGAAATAAAGTTTTAATCTATTGAACAAAAACCGATAGCTTTTAAATTTAGAAATGACATATAAAAGCTCTATTAGCTTATAGCTCAGGTGTATGTAGAATAAGTCTTTTATGCTGGGTGTGGTGGCTCATGCCTATAATCCCAGCACTGTGGGAGGCCGCGGCAGGTGGGTCACTTGAGGTCAGGAGTTGGAGATCAGCCTGGCCAACATGCAAAACCCTGTCCTACTAAAAATGCAAAAAGTACCTCGGCATGATAGTACATGACTGTAATCCCAGCTACTAGAGAGGCTGGGACAGGAGAATTGCTTGAACCCAGGGGGTAGAGGTTTCAGTGAGCCAGGATCCTGCCACCGCACTCCAGCCCAGGAGACAGAGTAAGTCTCTATCAAAAAAAAAAAAAAATCTAAAATTCCTTTTTGCAATCTCAGCACTTTGGGAGGCTGAGGCAGTCAGATCACCTGAGGTCTTGAGTTCGAGACAAGCCTGGCCAACATGATGAAACTCTGTCTTTACTAAAAATACAGGAATTAGCTGGGTGTGGTGGTGCACACCTGGGCTAGTGTCAAACTCCTGGCCTCCAGCAGTCCTGCCTCAGCCTGGGATTACAGTTTGTTTGTTACAAGAGTCTGATAGAAGCCATGGACTGTTCCCCAGAAAAGTGTGAATGTGTGTTCATTCACTCATGTTAGATTCATTCACATCTTTGCATATAGTTTATACTAGCTGATAATCAGACACAACATTTTTAAACAATTTGATAGTTCTTAGTCACACACCTTCATACATACTATGATTCTAGGACAGATAGGAACCCTTGCCTCACAAGTTAATGTTTAGCTCTCTTTACACACCTCGAAGGATGCGATAGTTCCCACCCTTTGCTAGCAGCTTTCATTTTTTGGTGGCAGTGTTAATGTGATCTTGTCTTTTTTTTTTTAAGCACTTGAAATTAACTAATGATTCTAGGTCTTATTCATCCCTCTGGCTGTCAAACCACAAGGTTTTTGATTAATGTTTTTATAATTAGTATTTTGAACTTGTCCTACTTTGTACTTAATAGTGATGCTATTAAGTTTTGTATAATCTAGTTTTGAAGATTTAGAAGACATTCAGTATAAATATTTTTCTTTAACTGTTTGTTTTTATACTTTTTTCTGTTTGAGGTGAAGTTGAAAACTGGCTCCTAATTTCTTTTTCCTATTTGCCAGTTATTTTTTAGTGTTCCTGTATATTACGTCAGTGTTGGTATTTAGGGATTTTATAATGGTGGAAAGAAGGTTCTATGTCTGATTAAAACTGACTCCCTTTCATCTCGTTACTATAAAGGTGTAATGCATCAAGTAAAACACTTAGCAGAATCAGAATCTTCGTTGACAAGTCCACCAAAGGCGTGTACGAATGGATCAGGATCTTTGGGATCCACAACTTCAGTCAGCAGTGGGACAGCCACAGCTGCCACTCATGCAACAGCTGACTTGGGATCACCCAGCTTGCAGCACAGCAGAGATGATTCTTTAGATCTCAGCCCTCAAGGGTAAGTAAGAATTGTGTTATGATTTTTATTTCTTTGCTGTTAGTTCTGCTTTGGTACCTAAGAATCATACAGTGAGTAAAATGGTAACATATTAGCAGATACATACTATATTTTTCCATCTGTATTTTGTTAATGAGAATGGGACTTAACATTTATTGGAAACCTATATTGGGCTGTGTTTAGGAACTTAAGAGATGAGTTTTATTACCATTGATATACAGGGAAACTAAAGTTGAGAGACATTTGTGACTTGCACAGTGTTACACACACTTACGTTACTTGTAAGATCTAATGTTGTGGGATTTGAATTCTGGTTTCTGATTTTGTAATCTTGTGAATATTTTTTGTGCTGCTGCATACATACAATCTTAGAGATATGCAGATATTGATATAGTTAAAAATACTGAAAATTAGAAGTCTTAGAATATAAAGGCCAGGAAATACTGATTTCCCATTTATCTTTAATTGGCAACTGGGAGTAAATTGTTTGCTTTTAATAACGGAAAATGGGAGTTCTTAAATTCTCTCCTCCCATTTATCAGCTTTTAATCTTTGTTATACCGTGTTACTAAGAATGTTTTCACACTTTCCATTGGTTTTCATTTTGTTGTGTTAGAAACAAATCACACTCTAAAAGTGTTTTTTTTTTCCTTGCTATTAGAAGCTTAATTTTACTTGGTGAGTGGTACATGATGAACCAAATTCAGTTCTGAAATTCAGAATGTATTCACTGCTGTACTTCTTTTGCCTCCTTTTAAGCTGAGAAGTAGATTATCCTAAAATACAGTAATACTGAATAAGTGGGGTCCAAAAAATTTAATCTTGTAATCTGCAGGGTAGCATTGTCTTGTGCAGACAGCCAACTCTGGTAGGGGGTGGGGATGAGGTGAATTGCCGGTTTTGGTGCCACCTGGTGGCAGTTTCTAGTCTAGCTTAAATATGAATTTTGGCAGTTTTAAGACTTGTGGCAGACTGGAACTTCTGGCACAGTGGATATTATTTTAGGAAACTGCTGAGTTTAACTGGTACCCATATTATTTGACCAGTCTGAGGAGATTGGGCTTGGAGAATTCTGGGGACTCTTCCACCTTCCTGATTCTGCAGTTGTATTTGTCTGCTATTTTCCTTTCCAGCCTTGCTCTCTCTTTTACTTCCTTCTCAGCCCCATTCCTACCCACTAGCTGGTGCAGTAACATAAGTTATTGCAGGGTTTTACTATAATGCAGGCATGGTGCCTCAGTAAATTACAGGGAGAGACACAGTTCAGACAATTGCAGTGTTTCTTTAACAATTTTTTCCTTTCTCCTTTTTTTAAAGAGACATGGCACGGGGTCTTGCTGTGTTTCTCAGGCTAAGCTTGTACTCCTGGGCTCAAGTGACCCTCCCCACCTTGGCCTTCGAAATAGTTGGGACTACGGGCATGTGCCAGCATGCCCAGCTCAAATGCAGTATTTCTGAGCCATTTTAATTTAAGGAGTTGAAATTGATTATAGAGTCTAACAGCTGATTATGCCAAAAAAAAGAGAAAATAACTTTTTTCTTAAAATATTTTAAGTGGTTTTAAATAGTTCTAAGTGGTTCCATATTACAGCATGGTTGCAGATGAAAATTTTGTATTAATTTAATTTTTAAGATGGAAATTGTTAAATTACATTTTTCATCTTTTCAAAGTTCATTTTTCCTGATTGTCAAGCATGTTTGAGCACATTATTAAGTATATTCCATAGAAATGTCAGGTGTTGGAAACTCTCAGTATTTTTTTTTTTTTCCCCCTCAGATTTTTCCAGTTTTATTTGGGCCACAGACAACTAAACCACAACATCTTTCAGCCTCTTCACCTTATTTAGCTTTGTTATTCTAAAAGTTTATTGCTGTTACAAACAATTTCTAGTGTCATTAGAACATAGGCTACGGGTGTTTAATTTTGCAAATGATTTTAATTCAGAATAGGTTATTCACTACTCACTAGATTTGTATATAGGATTACAAAAACACCAAAATGTTTGCAAATGCATTTATTTAGGATGTTATGCAATCATTGTCATACTATGAAATTACTTTGGGTAGTATAAGCAGAAGAGTATTTTGACAGTATGGACACTAAGTGTCGTGTATATTTTACTTATGGCCATTTTGGTTAGGTAAAAAGTATGGTATGCAGATTTAACATTATTTTTCAGATTCGTGATTACCCAGTTATTTTTATTTTGCTTCTTTGTGTTGCATATTTATTTCATTTACTTAACACTACATTTAAAGTTGAACACATAGAAAATTGATCAGTTATACCTTATTTGGCTTTATTTTTCTTTTTTCTTTTTTTTCTGTACTTGCAAATTACACAAAGATTGGCTTTATTTTTCATAATTCAGCATAAACATCTAGTTATTTTCGCAATAATCATTTCCTTTGTCTGCACACCTCTAGAACATGACTGGCACAGAATTGGCATTAAATGATCACTAAACAAGAACATACCTTGTTATGACAGGATTTGATAACTCACTGTTTCTGCCCTTTTAGCTTGCTTTTTCAGTGAGTGAAGATGTAAAACTGTTAATTACTAAACTTATCTCATATTTTCCCATGTGATAGTCGATTAAGTGATGTCCTAAAGAGAAAACGACTGCCAAAACGAGGGCCAAGAAGGCCAAAGTACTCACCTCCAAGAGATGATGACAAAGTAGACAATCAAGGTAACCCCTTTGATGAAACCATGGGGAGGTAAGGGGGAGGGGGTGGTAGCAGTCACAGAAATGTGCTTTATTAAAACTGCCAGTAGCTCTTGAAGTATGCCTAAGTTTCCAGAGAACTAAGTGTTCTTAGTTCTTTTAGTTAATCTGTTAAGACTGTGAATCTTAAAAATCGGTTGGTTTTCATCAGTTAAGCTAAAATGATTTAACTGTAGTTCTTTTTTCTTTTCATAGCTAAAAGCCCCACCACTACTCAGTCACCTAAATCTTCTTTCCTGGCAAGCTTGAATCCAAAAACATGGGGAAGGTTAAGTGCACAGTCCAACAGCAACAACATTGAGCCAGCACGGACTGCAGGAGGTAGTGGTCTTGCCAGGGCTGCCTCAAAGGATACCATCTCCAATAATAGGTGAAGTGAGGGGAGTTTTTTGTTGCTTCTATTCCCATATAAGAAAAACTTAACATTATTTCAGTCAGTACATTTATTGTGTGGAGATGATATGTAGACACAGCACTTTAATTTGTTCTTAGAAGTAGCATAGTTCAAGAATTAGGTAGATTCTCAATTTATAGACCCTGCATCTGGCTTTGTCCTAAGTTCCAGTCATGCACTTTGAAACTCCTTTCAGCATACCTAGCTGAAAGGCATATATGTTCAAAACCAAGTTGTGTTCCTTGGGGAACCCTCTTCCTCAGTTTTGTTCTAGACAAGGAAAAGCTGACATTTTTTGTGCACACTCTTCACATCTTTCATGATAAAATTTCTCTATCCATTACAATGAAACATAAGGATTTTAGGGGAGAGCCTTTTTTTTTTTTTTTTAAAAGTCCTTGGGGCTAGTTTTATTTTTGAGCTCTGTATGTAGCATACCAACATAATTATGTCCCTCTCCAGATAAGAATTTTTTTTTCCAGTGAAAATGCTGTTCAGTGGTATAGCTATACACAAATATGAGGCAGTGTTTTCTGAATTTCATATCCATGACAGCATGTAATGTTTGGCCTAACTTTGCACAAAGTTATGAAAAACTGCTTGTGATAATTCCATTTGGTTGATTGTTTCTATATTTCAGTACAGCCCAAGAAGAGACACATGCTAGGGAAAAATCCTAAGTCTCAAAGCAAATGTTGTCCTTTGACAGTACAAAACTAAGTATCCACCAGCTCATCAGTTTGAAAGAATGGTCCTTTACATCCAGTGCTTTTAAGCGTTTGGTCTTCTGATGACTTCCAAGTGAATCCACATGGAGTGCCTTTAAACACTTTCATGCTCCACCCCAGTTTACTTATCAAAAATCTATGAGAGTGAAGCCCAGAAATCTGAACTTTTAACAAGACCTCCTAGGGATTCCAGTGCTCATTTAAAAGATCAAATGTCATTCAGAAAATAAACATGCTTTCTTTGGTTTTGTTGGTTGTTTTTCTGAATTTTGGGGTATAAAAATAATTAAGTGAATGTATTTCTGAAGCCATCAGCATTAGTAATTTAAACAGCCAGATCTTGTTTGCCATAGCTTATTACATCCTTAATAGGTACATGTTTCTGGTCTGTAAATCTTTTTTACTTCAGCTCTTCCAGAACCACAAGTTAAAGATAATGCAGCTATATATGTACTTTAGAAAATAATCACATTGGCTGGGCATGATGGCTCATACCTGTAATCCCAGCACTTTGGGAGGGCGAGGTGGGCGGATCATGAGGTCAAGAGATACAGACCAGCCTGGCCAACATGGTGAAACCCGGTCTCTACTAAAAATACAAAAATTAGCTGGGCGTGGTGGCATGCACCTGTAGTCCCAGCTACTCAGTAGTCTGAGGCAGGAGAATCACTTGAACCTGGGAGGTGGAGCTTGCAGGGAGCCGAGATAGTGGCACTGCACTCCAGCCTGGTGACAGAGTGCGACTACATCTCAACAAAAAAGAAAATAATTACGTAAAATTGCATTTGGGGGAACACTTGGGAAAGTGTTATATTACAGGATTCCAAAAAATTGGTACACTTCGTTTATAATTCATGTAATGACCTGAAATGTATTTTAAGGTTTTAGACAATTCTCTAGGTGTTAACATGACAGCCAGTTTTCAAAGTGAAAGTTAATTTGATTATGGAATCTGAATTTATTAATCTGTAAGCATAGGCCACAAAAGATTTTAAATGGTAGCAGCTGTTTGCCTTGATCAGAAGTTATATCCTTTCTATGTACACTGGGACTTTAATATCTCCTTTTTGTTTCTTGTAGAGAAAAAATTAAAGGTTGGATTAAGGAGCAGGCACATAAATTTGTAGAACGTTATTTCAGTTCTGAGAATATGGATGGAAGCAACCCTGCATTGAATGTCCTTCAGAGACTTTGTGCTGCAACTGAACAACTCAACCTCCAGGTGCTGTGGCCAGTGCATTCTGCTGTCTTTTTCAGTCTCTTCCCAGTGTCTCCTGCTAATCTTTTCCTTCATGACTTCTCTAGCTTTCTGTGGATTTAGCTATCATAGATCAACTTTTACCTTATATACACCCTTGGTGCTGGTGTTTCTTTTACTAAGCCCTTGACTGTCAGGATTCATCAGTCTGTATTATTAAATGTACTAGAAACCTCATCTTTGACTTTCTTTCCTTCACATCTCATAATTCTTGACAAATGAAGAAACTTCAGAAATGTCCCCACAAGCACATCTGTTCTCTAAGTCATCCTCAACTATAGGTATAGACGATAGGCCTTCTCCTTAGCCCCTGTCTCCACATGGGGTCTCAGAGTGGCAGGAGAAGCTAGAGATTTTCTAATGTGTTTTATGTTTCATCTGGTTCTTGGTGTTTTTTTTGTTTGTTTTTGTTTTTGTTTTATGTTTTTGATGTACCTTGAGCAGTTTTGGTAGTATGTTTTCCAAGAAATTGTTTTGCTGAGACCTTAAATGTATTAATTAAAACCACACTTTGTATTCTTGATTCATCTTTTCATTCTAGTGTTTTATATAGCCCCTTATTCTTCAGTTTGTGTTCTCATGCTTTAAAAATATTTTTTTTAAAGAAAACTACATTGGTTGAATGTGAAGATTTTCTTACAGACTCTTGGTTTTCATCATGAAGTGTATGTGTGTGTGTGTGTGTGTTTAAAATCATATTTTCCAAGGATTTACTGCAACTGTACCATTCCCTGCCCTCTTTTTTAAGGGTATTGAGAATATATGTAGTTCCTTTTGAGGATGTGTGAGTTGTGTTTTTTGTAAGTACTGCTTAAATCAATATGGAAATACTTTTACCAACTCTTGCAGGTGGATGGTGGAGCTGAGTGCCTTGTAGAAATCCGTAGCATAGTCTCAGAGTCAGATGTTTCATCATTTGAAATCCAACATAGTGGATTTGTGAAGCAGCTGTTGCTTTATTTGACATCTAAAAGTGAAAAGGATGCTGTGAGCAGAGAGATCAGATTAAAGAGATTTCTTCATGTATTTTTTTCTTCTCCAGTAAGTTATCTAATAATGCTTGTATATCTTATAAGAATCACCGTTCACTAATACATACATTTTCATCTCAGTAATAAATTCCAGCAGGTCTTGGTCAAGACATTGAGGCAAAGTGTCTAGGTTTTTACACAGTTGGAATCCTTCAACTTCTGTATATCAAAGTAAATAGTAAAACAATGAAATGGGGATTTAACAGAAAGCCCATGTCACTGTTTCTATGGTTGAAGTATCTTGAGTCTCTTTTGCTTGCAAAATGAGCCGTTAATAGTAGTCTCTCAGCTGTGAGTGTGTTTTATGTGCAATATTTGTTTTTAATCATATGTAGTTTGTAATAGCTCCTTTTAGGGAAACAAACATCTGTAATAAGATAGAGGAGATATATTTTCCTAGTTTGTGCATAAAATACAGTTGTAACAATTCCAATCAAGGGTGCTTAATGACCATTTATGTTATTGTTTATAATGTGAATTATAACGCCAGGAGCCACAGAGTGGCTCCCCTTCCTTTACCCTAAGTGGGTGAGAGCAAGAGGATAATTCTTGGATACTGTTGACAGCATTCTCGTTGTCTTACAGTGGCTTAAGGAGAAAACATCACTTGGAACATTTCTCTCTGGATTATCTTGTAATAGGGCTAAGGATAGCTCTCCTATGTGTTAGCACTGTTTCGCCATGCGCTTGCTAAGCTAAGAGGCATTAGAGCATTGCTTGTATTTTAACTTGTGGAGCTACCTAAAGCAGAGTCGATATTTATTGGAGATTCATTAGACGCATGACAGTATTATGTATAGTTTTACATCGTACTTAAGATTATGTGCAAGTTGCAATCTCTTATCTGAAATCCCTGGAGTTTGGTGGGTTTCAAGGGCCTTACAGTGTATAGTACATTAAAATTCCCAGCAGTTTCTGAATAGCACTCTATATCGTATGTGTTAAATCTTTTAATGGCAAAACATGAATATTCTTACAAAAATCAGATAAAGATTGTAAATAGTCTTATGTCTGTTTGGATCACATTTTGCCACCAAGTGACTTGTGTTTTTAGAGCCTTTGGATTTAGGAATTGTGAATGCAGGATTGTGGGCTGTCCAAAAGTGTGTCTTTATTGAAATAATTTATTTGGAAACATCATTCAAACCAAATCTGTCATAAAACATAAAGGCAAATGGACGAATTATTCTCTTTTGTAAAACTGCTTATTAAATTTTCTCTTTGAGGAGAGTTTTGTTTTGAAAAGGCGTTGCTTAACCTGTTTGTTTATTTATAACTTTAGCTTCCTGGAGAAGAACCAATTGGAAGAGTGGAACCAGTGGGTAATGCACCTTTGTTGGCATTAGTTCACAAGATGAACAACTGCCTCAGCCAGATGGAACAATTTCCAGTCAAAGTACATGATTTCCCTAGTGGAAATGGGACGGGAGGCAGGTAAGGATCATTGCCTGGCTATACCCTTGCCACTGGAATTTGGCACTTAATTTCATGGAGGTAAGCTGGCAAGAGGTCTGGTAAAGTCTTGATCGGCCCAACAAACATTAAGCTGTAATGATGAAAGAAATTAAGTACTCTAAAGAATGAATCAAATGCTTTTTATCTTTAAAATTACACCATGTGCCTTAAACAGGATACTTTACAAATATATAATCCAGTGATTGTATTCATAACTTTTAACAGGCTTAGTTTTCCTTAAATTTATATGCTTTAACATACAAAGCTTCCTTAAGAACTTTGTGTTTAATTTCAGTAGGGTAAAATTTTTTTTGCGGATATGAATAATGTTTACATTTCGAGCAGAATGATTTATATGTAATATAAGTGGTTATATCTTTGTATTTTGATGGGTTCAAACATGTTTATTTTGAAATTTTCTAGTAAGTATATTTTTAATGTGGTTTTAAGGACTCGAGGTGCTATAGGAAAGAATTAATTGTTCTGTGTTGTGGAATGTTGTAAGTTTCGTGGAATATTTTGACTGGAAACTTAGAAAATAGGAAATTTATTTGGTTTTTATTTTATTTTTTTGAGACAGGTGTCTCACTTGCTTGCCCGAGCTGGAGTACAGTAGTGTTAACATGGCTCACTGCAGCCTTGACCTCCTGGGCTGAAGAGATCTTTCTGCCTCAGCTTCCCATGTAGCTGGGGCCACAGGCATGTGCCAACGTGCTCCACTAAGATTTTTATTTTTTGTAGAGACAGGGTCTTACTTTGTTGTCCAGGCTGGTCTCCAACTCTTGGGCTCAAGTGATCCTCCTGCCTTGGCCTCCCAAAGTGCTGGGATTACAGGCCTGAGCCACCATACCCAGCCTAGTTTGGTTTTTTGAATCCACATTTTGATGTTTTTAAAACATTTAAAAAAATTTGTTTGAATTAAAAACAGTATTCATTATTGAATAATAAAGCAATCACATCATGGACTAGGGTTTATTTTCTGCTTTGAAATTTAATGTAATGTGTGGTGTGCAGTTTTAATCATTATGCTTTCCTGAAGGAGTTCACGAAATTAGAGGGCATTTTCAACTATGCTTGAGAAAACCATGAAGCTTTTTATTTTTGTCCAAATTTGTATGTTTGCACATGTATATATTCATATAATGGAATATTATTCTCCATATCCCTGTTTGTATGCTTTATGTCCAGGAGGGTCCAATCTTTTGGCTTCCCTGGGCCACGCTGGAAGACGAATTGTCTTGTGCCACATAAAATACAATAACAATGATGTTAGTTGATGATCTTTAAAAAAAAAAAAAACCACTCATTGTGTTTCAAGAAAAGTTTATGAATTTGGGTTGGGCTGCCTTGAAAGCAGTCTGGGCTGCATACAGCCTGTGGGCTGCAGGTTGGACAAGCTTACTTTATGGAATCATACAGATAATCACAGTTTAAGTTTGTCTGTACCTGACTGCTGCCAGAGCTTTTCCGAAATGAGCAGTTAAACATCATGACCAGGTTTCAGCTGCTTCATTCAAAACTATTATAGCAAAGTAAATTTTAAAAGTTAGTTTTTAAAGTAATTTTGTAGTTGAAATCTTTGAAATTTAAAAAAGAAAAGTATGTTTTTGCATTTTTAAAATAGAATTCAGTAGGAAGGGGCAAAATGTTGCAGGAGTATGCTCAAATAGTTGAAGAATTTTTGTTCCAGAAAAATAATTACATATTCATGGGTGAAGTATTTCTGCTCTCATGGATTTGTGATGGGACAGAGATCAGATGTTGACTTAAGGTTTTCACATGCACACATACACATTTGTCTTTTATTTCTTATGTATAATAACTTTTTCTAAATAACTTGAATTATCAGCCTTACCATTTACAGAACTGGTAAGTAAGCTTAGTAGTAGTGTGTCTTATGGAAATGCAGTTTGTATTAACTTTCCTTTATTTGAATTAATGTATATTAATTGTGAAAACAATAGACTAACTTTTTTTTCACAAATTATCTTGAGCTTTTCTCTCAACAGAGGATCACAGGCTTTAAAATTTTTCAACACACATCAATTAAAATGCCAGTTACAAAGACATCCAGACTGTGCAAATGTAAAGCAGTGGAAGGGTGGACCTGTCAAGATTGACCCTCTGGCTTTGGTACAAGCTATTGAGAGATACCTCGTGGTTAGAGGTACTTTCCATATTTTTGTTTTGTGTGATATGTATGTGTATTTGGGGAGAAATTTTCATTAAGAGATATGTACATTATTTCTTTGTTTAACATTGTTTCTGTTAAAACCTAGATGGCAGGAACTTATATTTCCTGTCATTTATATTTCTTACTATACAGAGTAAGTTCAGTATATAGTCATATATTGAACTTATTCTGGGTTGACTGCTTACTCGAATGATGAGTTAATATATCTTGGTGAAATGTAGTAGAAATGACATTTTGTGTTTGGCAATTTTCTTAGCCCTTTCTGCTTCATAGATCAGAGTGTAATATATGCAGGTTGAACATCAACCTGAAAATCAAAAATGCAAAATACTCCAAAATCTGAAACTTGGAGTGCTGACGTGATACCACAAGTGGAAGACTCCACACCTGACATGTTTGCTTTCTGATCGTTCAGTTTACATACACTTTATCCTCATAATTATTGAAAATACTGTATAGAATTACCTTCATACCATGTATATGAGATATAAATGAATTTAATGTTTAGATTTGTGTCCCATCCCCAAGACATGCAAATATTCCAAATCTAAAGATTTTGAAATCTAAAACACTTATGGGCTCAAGCATTTCAGATAATGGATACTGAACTTATATGTGTTTTTCTAAGAATGTGTTTAACCAGTGTATACAGAATTTTGTTTTCACATCTGAAATTGCTCTGAGTTTAAAGATCTACTTGGGTCTTCAGGGTATGGAAGAGTAAGAGAAGACGATGAAGACAGCGATGATGATGGATCAGATGAGGAAATAGATGAGTCTCTGGTAAGGTACTATATTCCCACCGTGTTGTAATGTGCTATATAAAATTCAGGGCCTGTGGCTTAAATGGATTTTGCTTTCCTTTATTCAGGCTGCTCAGTTCCTAAATTCTGGAAATGTAAGACACAGGCTGCAGTTTTATATTGGAGAACATTTGCTGCCATATAACATGACTGTATATCAGGCAGTACGGCAGTTTAGTATACAGGCTGAAGATGAAAGAGAATCCACGGATGATGAGAGCAATCCTCTAGGCAGAGCTGGTATTTGGACAAAGACTCATACAATATGGCAAGTCTGAAAATTCTTTTGGTTTTTCATAAACTTTGAAACTCTTGTGTTTTAGAATTCACATTAAATTAATGGCTGGCTTTCATAAGGATAGGGGACCCAGAATCATACATTTTAGTTCTCAAAGGTGATTTCAAATGTTTGATAATGTGCATATGTATATGTAGCCTCCTCGTTCAGTCTACTAGAAAACATATTCATGGACAATAATTATGATTTACTAGATTTCTTTTCTAGATTTATTTAAGGTCTTTAAGACAAAAATATTGTCATAAGATGACGTTCCATTAGGTTATCTGAAGTTTGGCATCTCTGAGTCCTTAAAAGGCATTTGGATGCAGCTTCCTGTATAGTCTGTGAGTGCCTGCTACATATACTTGAAGAGAGCCATTCTTCCTAGAACCACCCTTGGGAGTTTCTCAGGCAGCCCCTTCTGGGAAGGTGGTCTGTAGGTGACCTCTTTTAAGTAGTGGTGCCAATGGCAATTCTCCAAATACATGCTAGGGAGAGAGAGAGGAATAGATCTCAGAATGGTCTTCTGTTAACTGTGTGGTGTCTGTGGCTTAGATTTTGACTTTGTAGAATAATTTTCAGTTTTAAAATCTACATTTGATTTATATATTGTCTTGTCATTTTAGGTATAAACCTGTGAGAGAGGATGAAGAAAGTAATAAAGATTGTGTTGGTGGTAAAAGAGGGAGAGCCCAAACAGCTCCAACAAAAACTTCCCCTAGAAATGCAAAAAAGCATGATGAGTTATGGCACGGTAAGATGGTGGATAAAGGAGAAAATTGCCAGCTGGGCACTAGTCTTCCCTTTTCATGGTTTTAAAAGAGTGATATGTATTTAGTAGTAAAATCTCTGAATATAATTGAGAAATAAATGAAGTTATGAACAGTTTGATCACATTTAATTCTTGATTTTAATATCCAGAAAATGAAAAATTAAGTGCCTACAAAATTAAATTGAGAAGGAAAATTGGGAAAAAACTTATTCCCAATTCATTAAAAGCAGGCTTTCATGAAGGCTGAAACAAATTTCATTGGGAGAACATGTTCACTAAAGAAGAGACTGAAGATAGTGATTGATCCAATTGGCCTTTAATTTTTTATTGTCATTCATTATAGTTAAAGTGGTAGAATTATAGTAATTATAAAAAGTGATGCTAGGTAATATAATGACCATAGACTATAGCAGTCACTTTGCAATAGTTATTTTTCTCTGTAATACTTCCTTCTCTGTAATTTTCCTTTCTTCCCCCATTTCTTCCCTTTAAAAATATGACACTAACAATTCCTTAAGGTTAGACAGTATTTTCGTTCCATGGAAGAGCCCCCACCTCCCTTCCCGCCTCCATCACAGTAATTTTCTCACACTGGTTTCCTGGTCCACAGGAATAAGGGACCTCTAGCAATTTTTACCACAAAACTAAGTTTGTTCAGTATAAAAGACTCCTAGTCTTGAGATTGTTAGGTTTTTTGGTGCTAAAAAATGCCATTTTCTTTTATGAAGTGATGGTGGTATGATTTTTCATTATTTTGCTTGCTATGAGTAAATGGCAACTGTTTCAATCTGTCAGATTTATTTTTTTAGCGCCTTTACTTAATGCAGTCTAATAACAAAGGATTCACAGACGCTGCTTGAAAACTCTCACAGTCTGTTCAGTTCTAAACCTTGTATTAAAACCAAGTCACTTTTACCAGATTTTTAATTTTGAGGTACTTGTCTAGTTATAAACTGGATATGAAAAATATAGGAAATATCTGTAACAGTGAACTTAAATTTAAACAGTTTGTTTTTATTCCTCCAGCCATTTTACTAACCATTGCTTCTGATATAAAGGAGAAATGAGGAGGAGTCAGCTTTTCTCCATTATAATGTTTATTTGGGTATGTGAAGGGAAAGTGAAATTTTTATAAGCCTAGACATTTTATATATGTAAGATAAAAAGGGAAGATTGTCAAACCTATCAATACCCTGTTAATAGGATTCTAAGCATTGACTATAACAACTTCTGGTTACTATTTTAGTGGTGATAAGACCTTGGCTTCACTGGATTAGCCTTTCTAATTTTGATCAAAACTTACTTTGATCTTTTGTCCTTTAGATGGAGTGTGCCCATCAGTATCAAATCCTTTAGAAGTTTACCTCATTCCCACACCACCTGAAAATATAACATTTGAAGACCCGTCATTAGATGTGATCCTTCTTTTAAGAGTTTTACATGCTATCAGTCGATACTGGTATTACTTGTATGATGTGAGTAATGTTGCCAACTTGCGAAGTTTTCATGGTCTGTTGTTCATGACGTTATAGTTTCTCTTTAGTGATTGATAAATTTCCTATTGCACTAGAAATGGAAACTGATTCAACTAAATGTGGGGATCCTAGTCCAGTGAAGTACAGAGTACTCATCAGTGGAAACCTCCCCACTTTTTTTTCTCCCAGCCCACAGTCTTGGATTAATTCTCTTGGCAGATGTGTAAAATTTTGTCTAGCAATAAATTTATGAAATTAAGCTGCAATATGAAACTTGAACATGGATTTATTATAGTTAAAATTCTTTAGGTACATGTAACCAAAAGTTTATATATATCAAGTAAAAGTTGAGTGAAAGTTGCATGCTGCCTTTGATATTTATATAGCATGGAGAAAAGTAAGGGAATTGGTCCTGCATGAAACATAAGCTGCAACATCAGTCAATGATTGAGCCAGCAGCAGTGGGTAGGGGGTGTGCGCAGCAGCGGCAAGGGGATGTGTGAGGGCCTAACAGTGTATTGTGGGAATTGTTTGAGTTGGGACATAGTAATGAGAGGCCGTGTGTCGTATGTTGGAAACCAGCACGTGAATTCAGGGTACTTTGCATGGATTTGGAGATAATGGAAGAAATTGTGAATATAATCCTAATGTTTTAATACATGTAGACTTTTTTTTTTTTAAACATTTTACAGAATGCAATGTGCAAGGAAATTATTCCAACTAGTGAATTTATTAACAGTAAGTTAACAGCAAAAGCAAATAGGCAACTTCAAGATCCTTTAGTAATCATGACAGGAAACATCCCAACATGGCTTACTGAGCTAGGAAAAACCTGGTAAGACAATCACTTCTGTAATGGTGGCCTTGGAAATGTTACTGGGTTGGTCTTGATGTATTTTGTTACAGAAACATTGTCTTTACTGGACCTAGTCAAATATTTATTAATACTGTTGATCACAACTTGCCTAATTGTGTGGCTTTAGCATATAAACAGACTAGGCAAGTTTGGGGACTGGTACTAGATCTTCTTGATAGTATGTGGCTATATGTATGAAATAGGAAAGTACACATAGCAGTTTGGCTGAAGATAGTCAATATTCTCTGTTATCATAAAATTGGATTCCAAAGGTGTAGTTGCTTGATTCTCTGAACCTGCTTGGGTCAGGGACTTTTAGAACTACAGTGATAAATGTTAAGAGCCACTGGCCATATACATTTACATCAGCAGTCCCCAATTCTTTTTGGCACCAGGGACCAGTTTCATGGAAGACAATTTTTCCTTAGATGTGGACTGGGAGATAGGGCTAGTTTTGGGACGAATGAAGTACCTCATGAAGGTGGTGGTCACATTTTAAAAATTAGCTTTCATTGGTCATGTTATACTTCCTTCGTGTAGATTAAAGATGATCTTGGATAGGCTTAAGTGTAGGATTTTAAACATTAAATACCAGATTCTACATAACGCAGTATTACTTAATCACTTAAAAATTTCATGTAAGACATGAAAATTCTTAAAAATTAATTGACCTGGCTGGACACGGTGGCTCACACGTGTTATCTCAGCACTTTGGCAGGCTGAGATGGATGGATCACCTGAGGTCAGGAATTCAAGACCAGCCTGGCCAACATGGTGAAACCCTGTCTCTACTA